GTTTGTTTGTTTTCTTAATTTTTTTTTTAATGTAGCCAGGTAGATCAGGATTAACGTATAAAATTCATTTTAAAATTATATTGAAATTATAGTATATATTTTGTTAATTTTAGTATGAGTTATCACCATAAGTTACTGTTTAACTAAAAAAGATATTTAAAAATTGGTTAGTATGGTTGTTTTTAATTGAGAGGTGAGAGTAAAGTTCAGTTACTAGTGGTATTTGCACTTTTTGCTTTTAATAAAATTGTGAGAGTTGTTTTTGATAAAACTGTATTTAGTGTGTTTTGTCTGCTTTAAAGAATTATTGTTTTTTATGGGTTAGTTTGTCTTATTTACCTAATAAAATATTGCTTGACTCTTATGTGAAACCTTTATATCAATAGGAAGTCAGACATAAATGAATAATTTCAATGGTAATTTTTATTTAATTTCAAATTGTCCTTTATTCTTCATTTTGAATAATGTTTCAAACATTAAAAAGCTTAAATTTGGTTAAACCTACTAAATATAAATACCCCTTTTGAAGCTCAGTCAATGTTTTTGTGTAAGTTGAAACTGGTTTTTTTTTTACTTTGAAGTGATTGAATATACCTAAAATAGCAAAATGTAGAGCATTACGATGGCTAGCTTTTTGATAACATAAGTAAATATTAAACGTTCAGAAAAATCTAACAAATTTATTTTACCACAGTTACTAGGTCACTGTGGCTCAGTTGCTCATTTTTACATATTTCTTAAATAATTCATATTATGAATAAATGAAAGCAAGCTACCTAATTTTATTGTAAGTAAAAAATATCAAGTTTGAAGCTGTTTTTTATGTTTTTTAATAAGAGAAATTTTTCTTTTTTTTGAGTTGCTAAGGCTGATTTAAAATTGTAACAACTTCAATGTTCAGATTTGTTTTCTATAAAGCATAATATTTGTTCATTCAGAACTTCCTAAGTTCTTCCATTGATACTTGAGAGTTTTCACCTATTTTTATCTATCTGAATTTTCTTAGGAAAGACTTTTAAAAGTTTCTTTCATTCAAAAGCTAAGATAGTTTGTATCAGTAACTCTGTCCAGCAACTTTTAAATTTGTTATTATTTAGGCCACGTTTTGGTACTTTTTACCTGATGTTTTTAGTGTAACATTTGAAATGTAGGGAGAATTATAGAACTTTGAAGCTACTCCCTGAATATTATAGTGCTTTTTAAAATAATTTATTAGTTATCAACATTTGTATACCCACAAGAGTGATTAGTTTTTGATGTTTGATTCAAGAAACCTTGAATGAAGTTGTCACAGTTAGAAAAGAGCTATATTTCATCATTCCATAACATGAAAATAGTATATCCTTATACAAGTAATGTTTCAAAATTTTCATGCAGGTGTTTTGCATTCAGTTAATTGACATTCTCATAAGCAGGGTGTAAAAATTTGAAAACTTGATCTAATCCTCTATCTTAGAGGAACATTACATACCCCTAAGTTACTGTTTAAAGGCATGTACTTGCATGGCCTTGTCTCTGCATTACCACATTCCTGATATATGGGTCATACCTAAAGTATGGGGTGGTACAGAAATTTGTAGAATCTTGTATGAGCTAGGGGTTTATCTCCCTTACATATGTATAACAGGAGATTTTGGGACTTTACACTAGGAGATTCCAATCTGATTTTGTGATAGATTCCAGGATTCCTTCTCCAGTCTTTACCCGTTATAAATATATTTCTCTCCTGCTTTAACAGCCAGAAGTCATACAACAAACTTAGAAGCTAGCTAATTGTGAGAACATCCCAGCACATTTTATTTGTTGAATAAGGTTTTTTTTTGTATTTTGTCCCTTTGCTGTCCATCCTCGAGTTAATCATCAAAAGCACTTCCTAAACCTAAAGGTTTAGACTTTTTATTCCTCAGATTGGAAGTTGTTCCATTTTTTTTATGCCATTATTTAGATTTGTTCAGGAATAAAACATTCTAAGAAATTTACAGATATATTTATGAGTAAATCTTACAAGTGGACTCCATGTACCTATATAAAATAGACTTGTGTGTGTTCATTATATAAAAGTTACAGGTATACTGTAAATATATGTGTGATGTATACACTGGAAGTTGTGTTTGTTTTACAATGCTGCAGTACTGTGATGATGCAGGATCCCCGATAATATTTTTTTCTAATTGGCTTTTGTGTATAATATTGATATGCATGTTTGATCATTTTTAAATGTAATTTAATTACTAGTGGTGGTGTAGCATCTTCAGACTTGTATGTATTTATATAAATATGCTAAAAATTGCTGTCATAGCCTACCTTTAGCTTTCACTGATGTTCTGAATTGTGACATCTGTAAGCAGTTTTTCCTTAAAAAGTTAATGAAACTTTTTTAGCGTAGTTTTTACCTATGACAGAACATTGTTGTGTTTAGAACTGATACTGTGTGAGAAATAAAAAGTATTTTGGCAATCCATTTTGCAAGGGTTTTTACAATATATATATATATATATACAAGTGTCAGCATTTATCCCCCATAAAGAAATATATAGTTTACTAATCTGACTGTGTTCCACTGTTCTAACAAAATTTAAGTAAAAATACATATTTCTTTCATAGTCATTCTTAGACTGTTTTTAGTTTTTTTATGTAACTAAAAGCAAGATATTTTTAACTTTATGTCAGGGAATGAATATCCTGCTATTGTGGAATTTGCACCATTCCAAAAAAATTCCAAAAAGAAGAATGAAGAAAAAAGATGCTAAGTGTGGCTCAATTGACCAAGGTAAATAATATTTTAAAGTAGAAAGTTCTTCCTAAGGTGACTGATGTTGGAAACTGTAGTTATGAACTATAATGTCATTAAAAAAAATATAATTTGTACATAAATCTAGTATTCACTAACATGTTAGATGAAAGAATTAGGTTCTGCTGAATTCTTGCACTTGTGTGAGACATGATTGTTTAACAAAAATTCAGTGCTATTTAACAAAAGTGTGGTATTTAACTTGATTTAAAGCTAAGTAGTCGTGTTAAATCCCATTAATTCTCAGTAATTATAATTATTATAAGATCCAGACTACCTGAAGTTTTTAGAAAGTCTTCAGAGTCCAGAAGAGATGTCATTGCCTTCAGCAGAAGCTTATTTGGAAGAAATAGAAGCAAAGGAAAGAGAACTTAAAGGTGATGTTAACTGATAGACCGTACTCTAGAAACTTATCAAGGATCGCGCAAAGACAAGCATTCCAAATATATCACTAAGTATATAAGTACATACATTTATCAGTATGACATCTTTGTGTCCTAGAAGGAATGATGTGACTTGTCAGACATATAATATTCAGTGTGCCTTTCTTCGAGTTCCAAGCCTTCTAAGTTGCAGTTTAGAAACTTGTATCAATAAATATTGGTGGATATCCACCATTAATCATCAAAGCCTGTTAGTGGACACTTTAAATTTTTGGTATTCATGGGCACTTTTCTTCATGTTAGTAGTGAGGGTCATGTACATGGTAAGTGTGCAGAAAGTACTTTTGATAATACTGTTTTTCAAGTTAATACACATACCTAACCTCCAATATCTTTCACAACTAGGGTTGCTTGTTTTGGTTTATACAAGTTTTCAAGAATGTGTTTTGGTGTTCATATTTTCTTCACTTTAAGTAAAGAGACAAGGCCTCATCCAAAGATTTTTATAAGTCGCTTAGAAAATTAAAAAAATTTTGCTTGACACTTCTGTGTTTTGCTTACTTGGATCTTTGTTTTGAGAGGTTTAATGTTATTCTTTTCCTGTGTTTATTTGTTTGGTGATATTTTATAATAACTTAAAATGACGTTTTTCTACCATAACAGCTAATAATGGAGTCTTGAAACTTACAACACCACTTATTGAATATATTAAACAGAAAAAGCTGGAGAAACAGGTGATATTTTATTTTTCTACCAGTTAAATGTTCTATATTGTTTTAATTTCTATTTTTTCAATATTTATGGCTTGTATTTCTTTGTAATTTGGTTTTCTTAATAAATGTAGTTTAGCTATCATAATTATAAAAGGAAAAATTACAATGCCTGAATAGCATGGAAAGATACTACTAGAGTCTGAAAAATTATATATGTTATTTATCAGTTATGAAAAATCATTCATGTTTTCCTTCAGCAAAGATAAACTTTACTGCTTTTTATGTTTACAATATGCGAGTTATATCTAATAGATATAAGTGGATATATTCTGAATGTCTAACATTTAAGAAATCTAGCTCATCAATGTAATGCCACAGTTACACCATTGCATATTACATTTAGAATTTTACCGAAGAAGTTAAAAACTTACATAAGCCTGTTCTTAACTCTGTATAGTTTCCTGATATAATTTATTAATCAGTGTATTTGTGCAATTGATAACACTTGAGAAAAAATTGTAGTGTTCTTAATTTTAAAACACACTATCCAGAAGGTGCGGGAAGAGAAACGAGAAGAAAGGAAGAGGAGAGAGCTGGAGAGAAAACGACAGAAAGAAGAGGAGAGAAGGAGAAGGAAAGCAGAGAAAGAAGAAAAGGTCAGAGACAGGCCAAATGAACATGATGAAAGCAAAGAAAAAGAAGATTTTGCTGACGAGTCAGACATGAAATCAGAACATGCACAAAGCTCTCAGACTGTAGTCAAAGTAAGATTTTTATACACTGTAGTGATTGAAACAATTTATTAATCAGGCATAAAAAGTTAATGTTACATTTTATATATACACACACACACACACACACACATATATATACAGTGTTGCTTCTAAGATTTTTCTGAAGTGGGCCATTCATGTAATGAAGTAGATATCAACTTTGCGAGTCATAAATGCATAACATGATCAAGTAACTTTTATTTGAAAAAACAGTAAATTGAATCATTGCAATTTGTTTCATTTGTGTATGTACTGAAAATATGGTAGGTAAGCTAAATCTGATTGATTAATCTTCTTTCGTTGAAACATCTACGCATTGCATTTATCTTCTCTGCACTTTTTTCCTTTATTTCTATTTTTGCATTGTTTTGATGGAAAAATAGGGAATTTCTTGAATCTCTTAAAAATTTCAAACATCGATATCCCATAATATCAAGGGAATCTCCCTGAAAACCAAATGACCCCATAACGCAGATCGCAATATATTTTTAAGGGCAAGCACACAAAAAATTAAAATGTCATTAATACACAAAGTACGCATCTTAGAAGCAACACTGTATATGTATTTTAGTATTTACAAGTGTTATGATGTGAGCTCATCCAGGATTTAAAGCTATTATGTGATTTTGATTCACTTGATTTTTGTATGATTAAAGTATTGCAACCACTATTTTGTATAATTTTCTTTACATTGCTGTACAAGTAAATTAAGAAACATCTGTAAAAAAAAAAAAACCCAGAAAAGTATAGTTTAAGAAGGAAGTAATTCAACCTTCAAATGTCTAAATCTAAAATGTTTACAAATTTGACACATTTTAACGACTTTGGTAAAAATACATTTATTAAAGATTCAGTACACACACACACAAATATATATATATTCATGTTTCTTTATCTTTGTTCTCATAGCTTTTAAAAAACCCAGAACGAGAGAAAGAGCGAGAAGTCAGTACCAGAGAGCCAGAAAAGGAAGAAAATAAAAAGACTACAAGTTCTCATTTCAGAAGCAGAGAAGTTGTTGTCAGTCAATCAGGTAGGCGAGATAGGGACAAAAGAAGGGAATGGGACCGGCAGCGAGACAGACAAAGGCCACGTGAGAAAGAAAGACAGCCCCACTTTAGAGAAAGAAACAGAGAAAAACCTCGAAAAGATCTTAAAGAAGACAGGTGAATTAAAAATCCAAGTAATAGTATGAGGTTTTCTAGAAGAAAACACAAGTAATTAAACACTTTTACAGTAGTACTTTTTAGAAATAAAAATAAATGCACTAGCATAAAATGTTCCTAGAATTGAGTTCAGTATTTGACTTTTGTAATTGGTGTTAATTAAGTAAAAATACGTCAAGCTATCAACTGCAATTATTCTAATCTACTATATATCTTTATGTAATTCAAAGCTATTGTGAATATCTCTCTTAAGCTAGCTGATCACAGAAAATCTTTAAACAAGAAAGATATATTTTTCTTAGATATAATACTTCTGGCTATGCTGATAAAGGGAGGCCACGATCAGAAAACCTCACATCAAGAAGCTCTGGATACAGGTCTCTATTAGGTAGTTCATCCACTAAAGATAATTATAAAGGGAAAAGCAGTATTTCTACAAAAGAAGACAGAGGAGCTGGAGGAAAAGTTGACAGTCAAGAATTGCCAAGTAAGTCCAGAAGAAATTCTGGGGAAAGTCTTTCTGCTGATACAGGAGTCAGAAGTAAAGCAAATCAAGACATAGAATCATCAGAAGGTAGAGATCAGAAGACAAGTAAAGCAGAAGCTGATTCAAACAAATCTTCAAGTGATAAGTCAGAGAGTTCTTCAGCAGATCTAAAGGACACATCTAAAGATCCCCGTGCTGAACGAAGAATTAGAAACAAGGCATGTGTTCAATAATAAATAGATTTCACTATCATGGTAAATTGAGAACAAAATACATGTATTTAAGTAGCACTAGAACCTATGAAAACTCCCAAGATGTCAGAATCTTTTATTAAACAGAACTGTCTGTAAAAATGTAAACTAAGATTGAAGATTTAGAGTATGGTTAAGAAAAATCACTCACCACAGCGTAATAATTAATGACATACTTTAGAATTTAAATTTCTTAGTGTTATCTGTAAATACAGAATAGCTTTATATAAGGAAAAAAAAGTCTTGGTACTCTTGCTTCACATCCAATAAGAAATCTGTAATATGCTTTTTATATTTTACAACCAATAATGTTAGTGTTTTATATTCTCTGTTGCCATTTTAAAGTACTTCTGAAGTCATTGCTATGAATAAACATAATGTACTCAAGAATTACTCATGTTAGGTGTATCTAAAGCTTCTCTGTTAATTTCTGTAAAGGAAAATTGTACAAAATATAATTATATATATTATTTTTTTTTTATAGAGATCCAATAAAATAGGAGTTGATCACCACTATACTTTTTTTTCTGAGATTTCTTGTTTGCCTGTATATATTTTATTTGCTTTCTCTTACTTGAAATAAAATTTGTATTGTTTATATTGCACACTTATTTTTGAATTCAAACAAGGTAACAGTGATAGTTCTGTGATACCAAAAGTAAGCAGAAACATAAAACAGTCAGTGATCATGTCATGTTTTTGCTAAATCAATGTATTCTTTTTGACAATCCACTTTAAGATGGTAATGATCATATATACTGAATGTTCTTCACATAACATTAGTCTCAGTTATTATGTATGTTCATGCAGGACCGCCCATCCCTTGAAATATATCGACCTGGTATGCGAAGACTAAATGTACAGAGAAGCAGTCCACAGAAAGAAGAAGCAGGTGGGCAAGGTGGCTCTTCTCCATCTAGTCCCACACCTTCAAATAGTTCAAGCAGAAAAACAAGTGGTGCTCCTGAAAGGTTTAGGGCCAGTAGACCACAGAAACCTGAATCAGCCAGCGAGTATGAAAAACCGGCAGACAAATCACCTCACCCACCTTTGGAAAGTAACAGTTCAAGTGAGAAAGAAATTGGAGGTAAAAATGATTGAAGCGTCTTGAAAAAATTTCAAAAGATCATTGGTTAATAGGTTTCTTTTTAACCTTTTCTCTTTGATAAAAGTTATTTCTTACAGCATTATTATAAATACTGAAAATAACATAATGCTTTGGTAGTTAATTCATTGTATTTCAGGCACTTCAGTGTTTTGTATAAATAAAACCATTTCTCATGTATTATTTTACATGATAGACCCAGCAGAGAAACCAAAGTTTAAAAAAATGTGTTCTTTAGAATTGCTAACTTCTAAAAATCATACTATTTATATTTCTGAACATTAAATAAAAGTAGTGTGAGTGCTGAAAGACAAAACCAGAACCATTTTCTAGTGAATTCTAGTTCTTTTCATATATTCTACACCCTAAACATGAATCTTATATTTTCCCAAGCAAAAAAAACACTTGAGGTTAGTTGATAACTTCATTATCTTTAGCCACTTTCAAGTCATCTGCAAAAGGATATCAAACTGATCATATAATTAAGTAACAATACATCAAGATATATTTCCTTTCAAAGCTTCTCATAACAGGGCACTCAAAATTAAAATGCTAAGTATATTCTGAAACTACAGATTCTATTAATTTTCTTCACAGAACTTGGGATACAAGTCCTATGAGGCTTGAAATTGGCAATGGCTAGCTGAAAGAAAGCCAGTGACCATTAAGGGACATTGGAATTTTTTTTGTCCTTTCATAATTCAGTGATTATTATGAATACTTAGTTCAGAACTATAAAAAAACAACAACTAAGAATTAAATGATAAACCTTCCCTTATAGTGTGTTGGACATTGTTCAATGGAATTCCCCAGGATTAATATAGCAAGTAAATCAACAGCACATTCAATATGCATTTTTTTCATTTTATACTAAAAAAATGTACTTATCAAAACCAGATCTAAAATTGTGTAATACATTTAAAATAATATACTTACTGGAAAGCTACTACGGTTGACTAGTTACATCTGTTAAGAAAGCATAACACAGCATTTGTTTACTTTAAAGCCCTGTAGGGTTAATTGTCCTTGCTACTCAGATTACTTGTGTAAATAACTATAATTTAACTATTAAAATGGGAGTAGCAATCGTACAATATCAAAAGCACTGCTATCTGTATCACTTAAGAATTAATATCTTCCATTTTAACTGCAAGTAGAACACTCACCCATGAATACGTATTTGTGTTCTTCTATGTTGGTGTATTTTGCACTAGAGCCAAGTGTAAACAGTAAACCAAGTTAGTTTTGATTTATACTTTGTGCATGTATATCCACCTTAAAGTATACAATATTTATATTTTGCTTGTAAGTTATCTTTTGATTGTGAATAAATTTCAAAACAAAAGCACAGTCAAAATCATTAATTAATTGTTATGAATGGTGTAGCCAGGAATTTTCTTCACAGGTTCTTTTGTCTGGAAGTTTCAGGTAACAGACAGCTGTCACTTGACAAGACAAAATATCAGTTCTTGTCATGGTACAACAGAAGAAGTGTCATTGCTGATCAACGTATTTCCAGTTCTAGTGTAAATATTAAAATCAGATAGGCATTTCCTGGCAGTTGGATATCATGTGGTCTAAGATCAGTTTGCTTCTACCTACCTTTTTATTTCACTGTATACGTTTAATCTCTCTGTAGCCATTTCAAAGATTAAGTCATTTTAATAGGGTGTAAGTAAATGTTGTCACAAGGTTGGACCAGAAAAACTTTTTTTTATTATATACATTTCCACAAATAATGTTTGACTTTTTTAGACTTGTACACAATAAGACAAAAGGATTTATCCATTTTAGCAAATTGTGTTTTTGGCCAAAGAGGATAGACTTACACATGAAGGTTATGAATTGTTTCCCTAAGTCTGATAACTCATTGAGTGGTCAACTACAAATGGAGTATACTCAATTCACCTGTCCAGAACACATTCTTGATGTCCATTTCCAGTAGATGAATCAAGTGCACTTGAACAGGAAGTCAACATTTCCATTATAGCAGAGGATGATGCAACACTCATCTAAGTTGTATTTCCAGGGGTAACCCTTGTTTTCCAAGTTACTAAAATAACTGGTATGTAGTCAGTGCTCTTGTTTAGTACACTTCCTTGTTGAGAACAGTCTGAAAAAAGTCCAGAATGCTTTCCAAAGTCACCTCTTTTGCTGTGCAGAGATATTAAATGTAGGAAGGACTGAGAAGACAAACAAAGGTGACTCAAATTGTCAGATTTACATAATGAAACCAAAATCATAACTTGTCTACTGAAGAACTACAGCAAAACTATTTTTTTTAAAACAGGAACAATACACACGTCTCTTTTTAAACAGTATCAGTCACTGCTAGGAATGCAGTTTAATTACAAAAAGATCAATAATATAATCACAGAAAACATCAGTCATTGTCAGATCACTTCAAAAAATCCATAATATGTTTATTAAAATTACATACACCATGAAGTATTATTATCCTTCAACCCCAGTATTAAAGTAAGCTAATTGGAGTTTATACAAAATTATGTTTGGAGAATAACAGTGTATTATATAATAACGTTATTCTTGTTCCACAATAAGACTAGTACATTAAAGTAGTGTAGCTTGAGCTTGTACAAAGTTTTTTTTCTAATCATATGCAACAAGAATATTTGTGTAGTATCAAGCTATTTTAATACATTAGCTTGAATTATGGTGGTTCACATGTCTCCCAAGGTATATATTTAATTATTGAGTGTAATAAACGTTTTTTTTTTTTTGTTTATTTCATAAGTCAAGTTAAGCAGTTGCAGGAAAATGACTTTTATAAAACTAATTATGAAAAAATCAGAACAACAACAAAAACACCAGTTGCATGGTCGATACTAAAGTTTCGAAGAGACAGTAAATTTATATTTTCAATAGGTCTTGTATAATGAAATGAACCATTATTTCTCAAAAGCTACTAACAATTTACCAGAACAGCTATGTATATGCATAACCAGATTTGAATTATTTCTCCTATCTAATACTTAGGCTCTTAATAGGCAAATAATACCAAAGTGAATTTCTCTCACTCAGTAGTGAAGCTGTGTTATAAATCCTGAATACTACTGTCATTGGTAACAAAGGGAGTTTTACTGTATAGTTGAACATAGGTTTGACCTAAAGTGTGATATTGCATAATGTCAGCACAAAGTTCCTAAAATTATGCAAGTCAGTTAGTACTAGTTAACAGAAATAAAATTTTAATTACATCATCCTCTCCCCATAATTATATTTTGAGATTTATGTAAAATTCTCAAATAAGCCACACATACACATTGAACTTGAGATGACGTAGTTAATTGATATTCATAGTAATGCGGTACAGTGCCAGAACTTTTTATACAAAATTTTTATATTATCATATTTTACTAGTCAAAGAAGTAGAATTCAAACATTCAAGTCCTTTTCAATATTTAAGGAATCCAGTAACAGAAGATGCATAAAAGGATAATATCAATTCAAAGATATTTTCAGGAAATTCCTCAATTTGAACCAACCATCACAACAATGAACTTTGTTAAAGCTTTATATCAAAGTTAAGTGTTTTCATTTTCTGAAATGAAAAAATAATTGCAGCTTTAATTTTTTTTATGACTGAATAATGACAGCCTAAAGTAATCATATTTAAGAAAGAAACACAATTGTAAACAACCAAAAAGCCATTTTAATTTTAAGTACTTACATCTCTTCATACAAGCTATGCTATGCCAGTGAAGTGGAACACAGTGTGAAATGAAATTCTATATAGTCCACCTGTTTATTTAATACTACGTGTACACAACGCTTACAAAGTAAAGATTACTGTTCCAAAACAAAAGATTTTTCAAATGCATTAAAATGTAATCATTTCATTCTCAGTTCAGTTAAAATCATTTTTGCATTTTTTCTCGTATACAGAAATAATTTACAACACTGGGAATCTTCTTGACCAATTAAATTAATACATTTGGAACTAGAAAGCAACAGATTAAAAAAAAAACTACAGTCTTTTTTTTTTTCTTAACAGCTCAAGTATTTCTTCAATAAACCAAAAGCTTTGTGAATCACAAATGCAAACATCTTTAAAAAACAGAGAGAGAGAGAGAGAGAGAAAGGCTAAACTAGACATGTACTTGTAAGGCTGCCTGTTATAATCACTAGGTAGAAAGTTGCACCTTGAAGCTGAAATCTGAAGAAAAGATGTGGCACAGAAATATTTACAAATGTGCTTTTTCCAGTCTATGGTGATTCTAGTCATTTTGCCACATGCTCACAGCCCTGGGAATTGGATGCCTTTAAAAGGATTTGGGAAACATGATGTTTGAAAACGTCCTCGACTTTGAACGGCTGGAAACAGGCAATGTATGACACAATGTTGGACATCTGTCTACAACACTAAGAAAAAGTTACAAAGTAGCATAAGGACTTGGTGTTATGCTACATAATGATACTGGTTAGGATTGTCTTTGTCTCGCTCCAGGTAGTCTCTATCAATTAGGCTTTCAATTCGTTTCTTCAAGTCTGCTGGCTGTGGAAAATAAGGAAAATATATTGCAAGAGAATTTACCCTCACAGAGATATAAACAAACTTTTATCTCCTTTTACAACTATTGGTTATTCGTATTTCTTTGGAATATTAGTTTCAAAATCCATTTTTAACACAAAAAAAGCAGATATTTAGAATTACACATTTTATTAACTCTTTCAACACTGGCCTGGTCCCTGGGACTGACCTCATAACCATTTTGTGCTTGTTATAGTTTTCATGTTACAACTTTTAATATTTTAAGTGTATCTCTACAACATTTTATAGACTTACAGTAAACATTAGAAGCCTTTTGCAAACAAAAAAATCAGATTTTTTTAAATTATATTTGTCTGTGAAAATATTTTTTTTTCTAACTAGTCTTGAGTGCAAAGTGAATTTCATTTACACAACCTCTGACACCTCCTATATACCTTTTTTTTCAATAAAACGTTATATTTTACCTGTTATAACATTTATTATTTGATTCTTAAGCCTGTAGACAACTCATTGAAGTAGAATGAAAAGAAAAATTGTAAAATCAGAAATATAATGAGCAGCTGTTTCCTTTTTCTTCATTATTGATCATGAAGTTTCAAAGTTCCTCCCCTGACAGTTGCAACTGCTAAACATATCCCATATATTTTCAGTGTTTATTTTACTGTCACCGACAAATTACAAACCCGCTGACAAAAAAGCAATAAATCACCACCAGTGTTATGAGTCTGTTTACGTACAACCGTAATATGAAACTCTCGAGCGCAAAAACACACGTGTATTCAGTGAGTTGACATTCCCCCTTGCTCCGAGAACACAAAATGGGATATAGCAGTTTATAGTTCCTACAACACTTTCAACAGGAATTTCCCAGGGTAATAAAATTGCATTAGAATGTGTAAAAACATTTATTATATGGTTCAGAGTTGGGCTGATCCAATAAACATTGTAGGTTCTGAGTTGGGCTTATCCAATTACATAGCAGGAGGCCTAGCTATGTATTGGCCTACAAAATACAAATGAAACTATAATATGAGTATACTGAAAATTACAGTGATATTTCAACTACCGTACGTTACATATGTATATACATATTACTATTTACTCATAAATGCTTAAATTTTAGTTACATTTCTTAAAACATAGAAAATAAATGAGAAATACACTGACAAACAAAGATTTCAAGTACATAACCATGTTACGAAATGTTGCACTCATGCATCGAACTTACTAAGTCTTGACATAAGCCTTGTTTATTCTTCTAGGTGGAGGAGGTACAGATACTAATTTTTTTAGGCTTCAAATATGAATTTCTGAAGACCAAAAAGTTATCAAATTACTGTACTAGTACACTTAAAATCCCTGTAATTTAGTCGGGTCTCTAAATAAACTGTACATGGGTAAAACAAAATCCCATTCCTGTTCAGAGCAACGACTAAATCATCACACTTCAATGGTTCTGGCAAAATTATTATTTTCTCCTTCAAGCTATTTATAAACAACTGTCAGAGTTACATAGGGGTGAAAATGTTCTTTCTATTGGTTAATTAGTAGTAGGTGGGACTAGATACGAGCTTTCAAAAGATTGGTGAAGTGGGAGGAGGCTTGCTAAAAATATTGCTATCTCAGCAGATCATAGAGGAGGGAGGTTCTTATTTTATATTTAGCTTGTCTATATTTCAAATTAGTTTCTAATTCGTTATCTACTTACACATGTTGTATGGTGGGTATAATAAAATGGCAATTGAACAACAAGACAACTGAAAGTGTTATGTGACACACAAAATCAATATTTAACATTTTTTCTTTACATTTCCTTTTAAATTAAGAAATTAAAACATATATAATTTCAAAATTTAAATTATAAAGTATGTTTTGATGCCAATTTCATTGATGTATGTTGTAAAAATTTTGAAAATAACGCTCCAAAACGTCGTGACACGTGCACTTTAACCTACCCGGGGTGAAAGGGTTAAATGCCTTAAAACCTTTTCTATACTCATAAGGTTATGCATAATCATGAGAAATAAGACAATATTTTCTATGCCTAATATGATATCATTTTAACTATGTTGATACAAAAAAGTATTTATGAAACATTTTTTTATGCTTCTATTTACAAAAGTTATTATAAAAATAAATTCTGCCAAATCTATAGTTATATATCCCAAAAATAGAATGTTAAATGTATTATTATTTCTCTATCTGAATGCTCATTCAAGTTCTTTGGCATGCCTAAGTTTAATTCAAGGCTTCTGAGTATGTTGTAGATAATTGTGTAACAGGATATTGACAACTTTTAAGTTCAATGAATGGGAAGAACAAGGTAAAAAAAAAAACTGTTTGGTTTCCTCTTAGTCAATAATACAAATAGTTTAAGCCTAGGGATTTTTTTTTTCCAGAATAAATCATAGCTGAAAACCCCTAAGAAACTCTGAATATAACATTAATTAGTAAAACGTTATATAATGGAATTCACAAACTGTTTAATTTTTGACATTCTTAACAAATTAATTTATCCCTGTCTCCAAGAATTTGTTCTTTGTAAAGGAATTCAAAACTTGCATCAACATAAGACCTGTCAAGCTATAGACATACGCTAAAATTGCTATAGTTTACATCTTACTTTAACGGGGAATTTCAGCTGGTCATACAGCTCTGTGATCAGCAAGTTATGAGTCAAAGACTTTCTCATCTTCATAATTCTGACGATGGCTGCATCAATTTGATACTGACGATCTTGAAAAACTCGTTCTTGTGTTGTGGACTGTTCTTCTTGCTACAAAACATTAATGAAAGAAAATCAACAGGGGTAAAATTTAAATTAAAAAAAAATTATGGTAAATGAAAAACATTAACTTCTCAATGAAATATTAATATGGAAAGATATTTATAATCAACTTCCACTTTACTTGTACTTAAGTACAAAAGAAATAAATACTTACTGTTTCTTTCATCTGGATTTGGTTGATTTTTATCCTAAAGTATCTATTTGTAAAGTCAGTGTTGAATTCAAACTTGTCTTTGTCCTCCACGTCTCGGCCCTAGCGAATAGCAGGGATATAGTTAAAGAATACTTAAGTATAAGAATAAGTACAGAGGGTTGAATATATCATATTAAAACAATTTTGAAGATGCAAATCAGCAAGTTCCATGACAACCACAGTTAATTTAAGGTCACAGTGGAGCAGTACATATCAGAACTACATTTAGACATTGTTCGGTGTTTCCAGGAAGTGATGACATCAAACATATATTCTTTTGGGAAGAATATGTACATTTGCTCAGATAATAAAGACAATTTCAGATCAGAGATTTAGAATTTCCAAGACCAGGATATCCCTCATACTTAATGGCATTTGAAAACAAAGAAATACAGATCAACTTGGGGCAGCAGGATCATACATAAAGAAACCAATGACAAATCCTACCCCAGTCTTGGTAAGGAAAGTGTGGCATATTGTAACAGGTGACAATCGATGAACACAAAGATCAGTGGCAAAAGCTGCCCTTGTTTCATAGGCAACATATGCAAGAAGGATCTCTGTATGGAAAAGCAACACAAGTTATATACATAAATTGCTTCCACAACATATCCAATCAATCACTGCATACCTCAACCAGCTAGAGAATGAAATGCTATTTCATACAAAGACATACTGGTTAATTTTTGGAACTTGGCACTTACTGATTTCAGTTCAAACTGGCACAAGGAAATTGTCATACTCATATGCTATAATGGATTATGGCAATCATGCAGGGAGAAGCGTTTTGAACATGACAGCCTTAAAGTGGAGCCCCCCCCCCTTAAATGGAAAAACATGCAGGTCTATTGTCAAGATGCTCAGTCATCAGACAGAGTATGACTGAACATAGTGAGATGGACTGTAATGATGTGATGAGACTCCAAAAATGTTTTAATGTAATATATGCAACCTCTGTAGTCTTCAACATAATTTAATTGTGTAACTTTGAAAATAAGCAATACATGGGGTAGTATTATTTTATATTTGTTTAAATATATTTATATTTAAAGTTCATCATGTTCTCAGCAGAGTATTTTTGTTTAATTTGATTTTACTTTTTTTTTTGTATATTGCTGCTATAATCTTGCCACTCCTAATAGTTCTATCTTATAGTCACAAAATTGCTTTCTTTTTAAACAATAATTCAATTTAAAAGTTTTATTTGTGTAAAACCCATTAGCTAACAGTTACAAAAAGAGTTAATATTTTGTTTGAAATAGTATATGAAAAATACTAATGTCAATACAAAAAAACTTAACAATGCAAGTAATTTTATATATTAAATATCAAGATATGAGATCCAAAACACAATCTACGTAGAACAAACTTTGCTCCTAGGTAAAATTATGGCTACGAACACATTTTATAACTGTAAATTTGTATTTTTTCATAAGCATAATCAAGAAATATTTTCCCTATTGTCCATTCAACAATTACAAGGATATTGTGTTGTTTTTTTTGTATTATTATTTAGTCCTAATTTACTGACAATTTATGGCATAGAAAATTACAACCTGAAAAACAAGACATTAGATTCAGATTAACATATCCTGATCATTAAAGTTAAATATTCTTGACCTCACTGAATATATTTAAACTTTATGTTGGCTTCATGCATGCTAAAGGTATTTTATTCACAAATTAAACAAGTTCATTTAATTAGTTAAAATTATTATATTAATAACCAAAACTATTCAGGGCCAGATTTAAACCCTTTGAGACTCCCCATGCAATTGCACAGGTTATGCCCCCTCTCATCTGATACTTGGACTATTCTATGCCCTGATATGTCTACAGCCTAACTTCAGCATGTGCAACATAAATATATATGTAACATACAAAAGCCTTTTGTCAGGTGAACTCTGTATCTTTTTATTTCACAATTTTTGTACCTTTTTGTACATTAGTACAGAAAAATTCATAAAGCTTAAACACAAAATTGTTTTGTTATTTTATACTTATCATCTATCATTCACTGAACAGAATCAAGCTACAAATAACCATAAAACTTCTGAAGAAGCCTACCCTTGGGATTTTCTGGACAACCCTGGCTTTACCACATGCTAAAGACTGTAGAGTTCGTCGTAATTCTCCATCCTCTGAAATATAAGTTAATTAATTAAATAACAGCTCCTACTGTGGTGACTGAATAACTAAGAATTATGTAAGATCACAATTCCAACTTCTATATAGCCAATGTAGTTGTACAACTTCTAATGCTTGTGTCAATAATGTCAAAAATACATGATTTGATTTAGTTTTATAATATTTTATTACAATGCTAATAACACAATCCTAAGCAATGTTTTTAAAGTGAAGGATGATCACAAAAGCAAGTTAAATGAAAGAATCACAGAAAGAGTTAAGTCTCCTGAAATAGAATATACAAAATGTTTCTCATTCTTCTTAGACTCTTATATCTATCAAATCATTGAAAAAAGAAATAAGATTTTACTTCATAAGTATGCCAAGCAGTAAAAAAGCATATCAGGCAGGCAGTAGCACTGTCTATATAAGGATGGCCCAGATTGTTCATCCATATGGTATTTTAAATATTTCCTCAATAAGTCAATACTATAAAGTGTTTCCTATTATAACAATATCTATGTAATGACTGAGTCACAAGTTTTGGCAATGTCTGTAAATATCAAAGTTTGCATTTCTTGTTCTTTTTTCTGCTGCTTCTTTTTTATTACATGACAACTCAAAAAACAAAATAATGGTGTTAACCAATTTCACAGGTGACAGTTTCACACAGAATATCCCCTTTTATAAGTATTATTAACCAGTAGTAATTTTAAAAAATCATAATTCTAGTGTAAACGATCTTATCATTACCCCTTGAACTTAGCTTTCTTACAGAAATTTTGTGTTCCTTTAAAAAGCTTAAGTACAGGATGAAACAGGAACTACCAGCCAATAATAGGTAAACAATAAATATTACACTTGGAACTTCATTGTATTTCGAACTTGGTTACAGATACAACCTTCCTATGTCTATTGAAACACTGCATTAATAAACAACAACAAGTAAAGTAGAGAAAAACTTTTCAAAATGGAAGTAAATGTAGGGATGGCTAATATCAATTCTTCAAAAACAAAGCAAACAAGATAGTAAGGATGGTATTTGCATCATCCCTACAAAATAGCACAGGCACAAAGTGTAGTAGAATGTTAACAGACAAAAATAGGATAAATTAAACTCAATTGTGATTGAATATATATATATATTGCTATATGATAATTCTTGCCATCCCTACTATCTTGTTTGCATTGTTTTTAAAGGACTGATATTAGCCATCCCTATATTTACTTCCTTTTTGAAAAGTTTTTTCTTTACTTATAAAATATTTACCAGGATAAATCAAGATATTAGTTAATATTAGCTAACCTTTCATACACAGATATTTAATTCTCTAACCTTTTCCCTGCAAGATATTTGAAGTATTGTTGATTTATTATTTTTATAAAAGTATCATATCATACATCCAACAATGAATTTACATCTTAGTTCTGACAAATAGGTATGTGGTTAAATATGGCTGACTATGTCTGTTCAAAATCAATGGGAAGTCACTCTGCATATTTAAAGTAAATAAAATTACAGTGCTCAAGAGGGAATGTTATGGAAAAGACTGCCTCTTGGCATGAATACTATACTGTACTCTTACTTACTATACAGAGTAGCCTCTATAGTTGGTCACAAAAGATTGCCAAATGAAAATTTAATAGAGATGGACTAAAAATCCATTTTAAAAAGTTAGCTCTTAGGTTTGAAGTAAAATAGCTATATGTTGGTTAACTACAAACATTCTCCAGCAATGTTAACAGAGTAACCTTCCATGGATACTAATAATTATTAGATGGAGTTATTAATAGCTTTAAAGAGAGGGAAACTGAATGTTGTTAAATTTATGGACTACAAGCTACATCAGTGGGATGTTATGGATGGTGTCTTCCAATGAAACTTTGGATGATGATGTGGAACATTCCAATGTAGGCAGTGGGTACAACACACACAGTCTCTTAGAACTGTAATGTAACATTAAAAATATACCCATTATAAAGTCAAGATTTACCACCTTGTATGCATAGTAATGTTTAATATCCAAATGAATAACAAATAATGTTTTATTTAAGACTTTGTATTTTGTAATAAGCTAACCTGATGATTTCTGGTATTGAGCAAAAGACTATTGCATGGTGTTCTACAAATATGAAGTGTAGACTGGAATACTATTATATTGGAAACCCAAACTTAGCAAGGAAATAATGATGTAACTAATATTCTTATCAGTAATATTGTGATCACTAGCCATAGCTATAACCTACTTAGTTTATGAAGAATTTTATTGATCAAAGAATCACAAAATGTATTTTAACTTTATATGTTCATTTTCTGTTGTCAATGTTTTCAGCACATATTAATCACCAATGCTATATTTTTTTTTAGAACATGTGATAGTATTAGGAACTGTAAAGCATCTTACTGATGGATTTACAAAACATTTAAAAAGAAAAAACTATACAATTTACAGCTGGCATCTTATTTGAATTGGATTTGTTTTAGAAAATGTAAATTCAGTAAGTTTTCTTAAAACAAGTGAACAATATTGTTCAATAAAAGTACAATATATCTGTTGCATAGAGCTGGGTGATCAGTGGAATTTGTTAATCGATTAATCATTAGGCTCTAATTGATTACATTCAACTAAGTAATTATTCTCACAAGACTTGATTTGTTGGAATAATAAAAAATATTTATAGTTGTCAACATTTTCAATTACTTGATTATTTTCAAGAGTCATGACACTAATCGATTAAGCTGAACAACCCTAAATAAATCAAAATAATGAAAAATCATAAAGGCAATATTTCAATCACATGAATAGTTA